TAAAATGGTATTAATGGGTTTAATCTGTGAAGCAGTAAATGTTAGGTTGGGTTAGGTTGAGTTAGGTTAGGTTAGGTTAAGTTAGGTTATGTCAGTAATTCAAGATTACGTGCTAGTATCTTAAAAGTACGAGAGTCGGTAAGCTGAATTAAAAAATTGATTAAATGATAATTTAGAACTCGAGACGTATTATGTATACAATGAAATGTATGTAAAAATCGTCTACAATGCTCATTTGGGCACACGGCTTTACCACAGTTCGTTGCTTTTGTGAATTCCAATTCGGCTATCAAAACTGTCAGATTATGCCAGATAGCCCGCTCGGCGCTTGGCTGACTCGGGGCTCGGGATACGAAATCCTACTCCGAACACTCCGAACTGAGAGTTTGAGGTGATTGCCACCCCCATTGTCGTATCTGTACTCCGAACTCCTACTCCAAACCGGTTACGTGGGGCGAGCGCCGGGTGGGGTGAGCGCCGAGTGGACTACCTGACTATGTTGTGACATTTTTTTACAGCGCTCAACGAACCGGATAAATCAGTGTACACTTACTCTTGAAATTATCCATGTCGTGGCGCATCTGCGTCCATATATGCAAGCTTTTGCAACCTGTTTATAAACTAAGTGTTTTAAGAGTGGTCTCATTCCTAATAATAATAGCATATAAGTGTACTATTAACCTAACCGAACTTGGATATGTGCCACGAGGGACCCGAAGTGACCATCGCGAGGAACCACAGAGGCTCGTGTTAACCTCGTCACTTCTGCTTCATTGAGCAGATCCTACGAGATTCATGGCCTCGGCGCTCGCAATACGACACCCTCCGGACTGATAGATCAGAGGTGACTAGCCTTCTGCTCCGGACCTATCGCTTTAGATGGCATCTTTAGCCCGACTCTTAATGTTATTTAAATGAGCCGTCAATTCAAACTGAAGTCGAGAGAAGAACGAGCGTTCCAAGATGTGTAATTATGATTAGCAAGGTATAATCTGCGGCAACTTGTAGTCGTTAGCGAGGATGGCGTGCGACTTGACCACGACCACGACCGACGCGAGGCCGCAAAACCTGTCGGGAAATCCTCCGCAGCATTTTTTTACTCTTTACAACGTCATTCTTATAACTTGGAAGGAAGTTGGATGAAATATTCCCCTCCCACTCTACACAAGTAGACGAAGTCTATGCCAGTTTTGACGTTGTTGCCGGCAGCTTCAGACCTCAGGCAAGTAAATTTCGTTCAAGTTGACATTATTTTATTGTGTTTGTGTTCCCTAAAAATAATCTTGTTGATTTGAAAATGTATATTTAGGTTTATGAAGTCACTGTAAAAATGTTAAAAATACTATGCATGTTGTTTGCGAAGAGAATTTTTAATATTTTTTTGTTTTAATTGTGTTCTATCTTTAAAAATATATGCATTGCCAAATGATTATGAATTAACTATTTATTGGTACACTTTGTTAAAAATTAATTTTTAAGTTTTAAAAAGTTTCTGATTTCTATACCTATAAAACACCACTGTTTGAAGACAAAGTATTTATGTTTTCTTACTGTACCTATAACAAAAGATAGTACGTATTAATACAAATAATACTTTCGTCATTAACCTAAACGCTCTTCTCTGCAATACAAACTATGATAACACATAAAATCTTTCGTCTATGATAGTAGTATCATAACATGAGATGGCAATTCGTATAACAATAAATAACGCTACAAAAATAGAGTTAGCTGCAATCATTACATAAACATTATGCTATGTTACAAACAATTTGTAGATGTTTTATGCATATGTAAAAATGAATCCAGCAATATAGAATTTATGAACTAAAACATTGTTATACTGTATAAACAAACTTGGGAATCCTTGTATATAAATTTATTTTTTATTTTACTTTTCACAACATGTTTGATGCCTAAAACACTTAAGAGTATTACCCTAATACCAGACATAAATTATTTAAAAAATACATGTCTATGTGAGTCTTTCTTATCGTATAACACATTTCTTTGATGGTTAAGTTGATTGTTTGTAATCTGTGTTCAAAAGGGGTGCATGGAACTCAAGTATAATTGTTCAAAAAAAGTAAATAAATATTTTTGTACAATTTAGCTTAACATTTGTACAATGAATACTAAAAAAATGAAACATATGGTGAAATGAATACAAGAACACGTAACTCTGACAGAAATTTATGGATACTTTGAAAAGAACCATCCTGACGACCTGACGACATTGCCAAGAAAGTGTGATTAGCATTTTACTTTTTGCCACCGAAATATAGACTTTTTAAATATGAAAACTGTTCTACCTCAAAGATAAACTTAAACTGTTTCTCATATCACGTAGACTAATGTGTTATAATCCATACAATGTTGAAATTCTGCTTCGCACAATGGCCTATTAAATATAAATGACGGGTGACGGATATGTTTTGTACTGGCAACATATAGTATCAGTAATAATATATTATCAGTGAAGATATATTATATTTATGGCACAAATCAATACTAATAAAGTCCAATTCCGTCTAATATATGCCAATGATTATAAATACTAAGCTAAAATAACCTTACATCTCGTATATTGTATTAATGCAGTTGTGACGAGTGTAGTAACAATAAGCTTTTTAATTTCCTTTGATCTATAATAACTGGATTTAAGGTTATTTTGAGTGATAGGCTTCATGACAAAGAGAGAATGAATCACAAGGCAGAAAGTTCACGAGACTTCCTGACGAAGAATGGATTCCTTATGAGATTTTACTTTCCTTATCATACCAAACTTGCTTATGTATAATAGGAAACTAGCCTACAGGAAATAAGCTTAACTTGAAAGATAACCCATCATTTTTTTCAGTCAATCACATTCGTACTTCACTTGGCTTTATTTTGTTAATCATTAAGTTAAACTGTCAAAAACCATTCAATAGCAAGTAACAAGCAATATACTACCAATACAAAATCCAAGCAATGCTCTTATTCTATAACCAAACCCTTTCTTTGCTAGAACTTCCTTTACGACTAAAATAAAACTCTCACGTCCTTTTAAGATTAAAAATCATGCGATGCAGTAGATAATTTCCTAAATGGTTGCATATCATGCTTAGATATTAACTAAGACGTATCGGTAATTATTACAACTGATTTTCTTGTGATAATATTTCAAAGAAGCTCTGATCTAGTCTTGTGTAACACAATGCCTACTAGAAAGTGTTTTCTCTAGTTGCAATACATCTTATTGAGTTCTACCGATGAACTACGACATTACATTTTTTGTTATAATACATCTTGTGTAAATACAAGTAGGAAAATCTATATTTTTAATTGAAAGAACTTTAGTACTCCAGTTGAGGGTGAACGAACGTAACCTAATATTTTACTGACAAATCATTCCTCGCTGAACTGACCCAAAGAGTCCGCAATCTCGTTATTTTCCTGTAGAACTTGTTTTCTCAGATTTTAAATTGACGGTAACTGCTGTATGCTAGAGTTGTTTAAAAGTTGTTTTATTCATGAGTAATTATCTCGGCGCTTCCATCTAGAGGAAGATAGAGTTCAAAAGAAGGTTCAATTTCCTTAGCATACAATATACAGGGTGTCCCTAAGGCGTCTCAAATTGATTACGGAAAAACTGCTTAGCGTACAAGGATTAAATAAAATTACTTCCCAATGAATAACGTAAGAATAGTATTAACTTTTTCCGATTCAGGGTGTGGCAAAGAACTGAGGGCCACTAGTTCGAATCTCGGAATGTTCTAAGTAAACATATGATGTCATGTTATACATAGTTTAAAAATTATTTATTAGACATAAATTTTGGCGAAAACACAAATTAGTAATTCTTTTCCGTTTCAAAATGGTGGCAGTTTTTTTGGGTAAACTCAATATGTATTTAATACTCTGTGTTTACTATACCAATACACTTAGCCCTTCTCCGATTGAATGTTCTAACTTAATTGATTTTTGAAAATTTGCAAATTAACTTTGTAATTTACACTTACTTCGTATCTCTTTTAGTTTTTTGTTATTTACACACAAACTAAAAGAGGTACGAAGTGTAAATTACAAAGCTGTTAAGAATTTAAAAGCAAAAAAATTATGTGCCACTTGACATATTACGAGTATGTTTCTACTGTACTTGAAAATTTTGAACAATGGACATTTGAAAATTTTCAAAAATCATTTTTATTTTTATCATTTAAAAAACCGTTACTTGTAGTATATCACAGTAAAGCTAATTTCATAACGACTAAGAAAATTAAACCGGAGAAGGGCTAAATGCATTGGTATAGGAAACACAGAGTATTAAAAACATAATGGTTGTTACCCAAAAACTGCCGCCATTTTGAAACGGAAAAAGATAATTAATTTCTGTTTTCACCAAAATGTTAGTCTATTAAATACCTTTAAAATGATGTATAACATGACATATGTTTACATTTGAAAATTCTGAGATTCGACTAGTGAGCCTCAGTTTTTGGCACACTCTGTATCGGAAAAAGGTAAACATATTTTATGTTTTTCTTTGGGGTCGATTTAGCGGGAAATAATTTTTCCCTCCGACTTCTAGCGGACCATCCCTCTGGAGGTACTGCATAACTGAATTATGTGTAATGCTACTCTAATTTTTCGCGTGTTTTCATGCTGCGTTTGTGCATGAAAAAACGCCCGTGTTGCGCAGCCTCTACTAAGCCAGAACATTGGGTTCAAGCATCATGAATTAGATAAGCTTGTTTTTTTATTATTCTACAAACATATTACATAATACATTTTTTCAGGGTAGACTATATAATTCGGTACATTAAGAACTAACTTAATGGTCTGTAAAAGAATCTATTTGCATATTGATTCAGAATATAAATCAGCTATAAGTATAAATGATGATAACCCATACAATCTCAGTTTTTATATAGTAATCAAAGGAAGTAATATAATCATATTGTGGTTCTAAGGGTCGATTGCACAATGAAAATCAAAACAAATCACATTGAAATGCACTATTTTGCTAGCAACTTCACTCTATCTTTGCCACTCCCACAAGGATAGGACATTTTCCATTAGAATTAGTTGGTCAAAATTAAATAAAGATTTTGTGTTTTTCACCGGCATAAATGTTCGCTGATAAGTTATTAAGGAAATATAATTTTTTAGTTGAGATATTTTGTTATGCTTTAATGTGCAGTTTAATTGTGTAAATTGTGACGTCCTGTGATTTCTAGTTGATGAATTTAATATTTGAGGTAAAGTATGCCATACAGTTCTAATTAAATGCATGGCATATTTCCGAAAATTGATAACTTCATTATATATTGTCTGCTGAAATACAATTTCTTTATAGGTTGACCGATAAATCCTGGGTACAGAAGGGCTGAGATAATGTCTGTAAGTATATACAATAATATAAGTGTATTATTCTAACATATTTACATTAAAGTGTTGGTAGTGGAACACTTACAGGAGGGGTCACAGTTGTTTTTAAACAAGGGACTGTGTTTACTTAGCAGAATAGTCATTGAATAGTCATTGAATAGTCATTGAATAGTCATTTATTCAGTCTTTAAACAATACATTATTGTAATTGACATCGTCATTATTATTGTAAAAGATATAAGATACGATACTTATAATTATTAAAATTTCACATGAAAATTCCAAAATATAGGCTGCCCTTATTGAACATTTAACAGGTTTAAAATAATTTTTAAAAAATAGGCAAACTTAACAAACTTAAATTATGAATAATAGTGGGTCTTTCTTAAAAAGGCTAATGGTTATCACAGGTGTACAATGAACATAGAGGGACAAAATTACTAACATTATCACAGATGGAATATGGTAAAAAAAACATATCAAAATAGTGAACATGAAATATATGAAAATCAATTACAGTAATAAAATCCTAGCCTAACAGAAGCAGAGGTGTCATAGTTTTGCATCCAAACTGGATGCAAGATCCAAAGACAATTTGTTTGATACTTCCAGCACAGAATCAAGGCTTAATGAGGCAAATTAATGTAATGCCATACTTATCATGATTACTTATTTGTTACAACTATTCTAATAGGTAATTCCTTTTATAAAAAAAATTAAATTATGTTTTTAGTAGCACCAGGAAAATGAATACTGAATGATACCTTTATGTCATAGTGAAGGCAATTTCTTTTAAAGGGAGCTTATATGCAAGAATTTTGTATATTAAAATAACTTACCTAACTAAAATTCATTAAAAGTTAAGGACGTTCAACAGAGTGCATAACATAACAAATTAATTTTTAAGGAGGTAATGCATAATGCACTAACTATGTCAGGAATGGTGAAAGAGTAACACACAGAAACCCCTATTGGCTGCAGCAAGGAGAAATATAACTATTTGTCAATAAGTAGTCCCCTACTTGACATAAGTAGCCTAATAATAATAACGAGAGGTCGTCCAGTGGTCGAAACTCGACCAAAAATATGTAATGTACTCACTTCTCTATTTTCACCCCACACTGTAAATAAAACATGTGATTGGAGTTTCTTCCATTTGTTTTGATTTTCTGTTTATATTTCGTTGTTATTTCGTCACCAGCATGGCAACGCATAAGATCCATGTTAGTTTTTTCAAATTTTTAAACTCATTTTTTGTGCTTATTTTTGAGCCTATTTAAATTTATAAAGGGATTCTGCACACCTACAGGAAAATTGCTTTCTAACGGTATGCGCATATTTACCCCACGATGCACACAAGCTGAGAAAAAAGGTTTTAAAGAAACATGCTTGCCTATTAATATGTAGATAGATATTGGACATAAGTCCAGGAGGGCTAAGTGCAAAAATATAGTTTTCCTATTTCAAATTAAAAATAAAAATGTTTAGTAACTATTAAAAATAGATTTTACAACTATGCTATACTCATACAGGGTGATAAATATTCAAACAATATGGTACAATAAATCAATTCTGAGTGAATCCAGCCATCGCAATCTAATTTGTCCAGTGGACCAATTGGGGACAAAAATTTACCGTATAACTTAATTATAACACAGCTCTGTTCTGAAATATCAACCAAGGTGTTTGACTGATCAGGAAAAGACTACAAATTGGACGTGAATTTTGCATGATACAAGGAATTTTTGAATAATTGCCAACTGTCTATTCATGAACAGTATTTCTTATTTGTAAGAAGCACACAATCGCAGTAAATGACCACGAGATGTTGCTGCAATCACAATAGATATTTACAGGAATGTTTGCGATCACTGGAGGAGATCACAGTGTTGTTGTGGTCACATCTTTACATTTTTTGATGAATTCATACTGCATTTCTTGATAGGGTCCGGCCCCAATTATATCGGATCAGTGGTACTCTCGTGTTATCCCTCTTCACTAGCTGAAATAGTTGATCATGTTTTGTGTCTAGGGAGCTTGCAACTGCTCCGTGTTCCTGCCTGGGCCATCCATCGCACCTCCCTGTGGCTCTGCCTCCCTCACCTTCATGAGCCTCCTTCAGGTGTTCCTAAGGTCACAGTGCGACATAGAGGATCCGTGTAGGCGTGTGGAGTCTATCGACAGCCCATTTTCCGATTACGACTTCATCGTTGTTGGAGGAGGCTCAGCAGGGTCAGTTGTGGCGAGTAGACTGTCCGAAGTGCCCCAATGGAAGGTAAGTAGAGATGGAGCCTAGTAAGGTAATTGGAGTGTCCTGAACTACACACACCACTACAGGGGTTTGTAAAAGACGTTCCTGAACTGAACACAATGGCTCACAAATATATTTTCACTCCCTCTCTGATAACTGTGGAAGAAGAAAATTTTTGTATTAGTCTTATAGATGTCTTAGACCAATGTTTTGTATCTGTCCATCATACAAAATATCAAATATATCAATCAGCAACTAATGACTATAAAATGACTGCATGAGAATTTTGTCTCTGATGCAGTGGTGTGGTGACAAGTATATTAAACGCAAATTTCTTGATTTAGGATATACCTAATGAAAAAACAAATATTTACATACTTTGAGTTCAAAACATTTTAGAACGTAATTTTAACAGAGGTGTTGCTTTAATAAAACATAGATCCTAAACAAAAAGACACCAGTCTTTTCTATCTTTTCTATCTTTTCTTAAACCCTAAGTTTGAATCAACATTGTTTATTGAGTTAAAATTGGAATTTGAAGCTTGAATCATATTAAGGTATGTAAAGAGTATACTGTGCGTCCAAGCCAGAGCTATTGTGAAGACTTTGGTATGGGGGTGAGTGGGTGTGCTGTGCTATAAACATTTTTGTTTTTTTTTGTTCCATTTTTGTTCCCTTCAAGGGCTTTGCACAATTAAGGAACTCTAGCATCCTTCTTTTCTTCAGGTGGGACCTAGTAGGACTTTGATTATGGTTAATAACTCTCATATGTTGCCGTCCATACATAATTTTTATACTCCGTAACCACATGATATGAAAATATTCTTTGTTGGAGCAAACTTTATCAATACTTAGTCTATATTTTAAATAAACATTAATTTTTAAAACAGTTTTTAAACATCAGAGTCAGTTTAAAAATAAACATTGGTTGCTCTTGCAAGTTATAAATTCATCAATCCTTTTGATCGAGCCTAAGAAAATGTTACCTTACTGGATCACCATAACAAGTTCTATACCTGCACAAAACCACAATAAAATCATTTACAAAATCAACCATTATTTTTAAACTTTCTAAGTCTTGCTTTCATCATGGTAAAAATATGTTGTACTGCCATGGACAAAATCTATCTTATGTGGTAATTTTGGGGTAGACAGTTTACAAAATTGTAAACATTTGAAAACATTTAGTTTATATTTAAATTTTTTAGGTTTTGCTCATAGAAGCTGGGGTGAATGAACCGACTGGCAGTCAAGTGCCTGGATTGTGGGTGAACTTCTTTGGATCGTCAATTGACTGGAAGTATAAAACTGAACCAGAAAAAATGGCGTGTCTTGGAAGTGTTGAGCAAAGATGTTCTTGGCCTCGAGGAAAGGTAGGATAGAAATTAGACAAACTTAGGCTTCTTGATCTTCTTGCAATTTAAGGTCTAGTTATTGACAAAATTTGTTTGGTAAAATGACTGTACGTTTGCATTTGTGAATTGATTATAAAGTGAAAAATTTGAATTTTAAAGAAAATTTCTAGTTGATCTGGAAAAATTATGTAAATAAAGTGCGGGGAAAAATACCCCTGCTGCAGCAAACCTGCAGACTAAGCGAATTTAAATTTATCTGATTGGATTAAAAGATAAATGTATATTATTTTGATGACTTCATGTTTACACTGTTATTTGTGTTTTAATTCAATTTACAAACTAAATTCAATCATACCACAATTTTTTTTCCAGGGAGCCTACTTATTTTCTTCTTTTATTTACTTAGGATACTAAAACTGCTTGGAGTCTATTACACTTTGCGTGCTATTGTAAAATCTAAAGCCTTTTTTAACTGTGTATTTCATGTGTGGTTACGATTGGGTGCCCTGATGGTAAAATACTTTTATTTCACTTAAGTTGCCCTTCACATCACCATAGCTTTTTTTCACATTTAGAGAAAAGGAGTTGTCGTATTTTTCTACAACAATGCTTTAATTGAACTTATATGGAGAATATCACAAAACTAAGCTGTACACAATTCATTATTGCTTCTAAAATTAATTAAATATCTGTAACTATGTTTCTTTACTCAATGGTTAGCGTGTAAATTAATGTAAATACAATGAACTATGGAACGAGGAAAAATAAGTACTTATGTATTAAATTTTATTGATTTTTTATTTACGTTGGTGAAATTTGTCCCCTGATTGACAATGATAAGGGTTCGCTTTGTAACAAAATGTAATATAATACAAGTTTTCCATTACCATGATATTTACATAATGAGTTGCAGGTAAAGATTCCTGATAAAAGTTAAGTAGTTAGAATAAAAATATCCATTTTATGTGAAATCAATATAAATTGTCTTTTGATTTACTACAGCACTCTATCCTATGTTGTGTGATTCTTTTTTACCTAACTTAATATTTAAGTTTTTCAATTAAGTACGGTAAACGTATCATTTGAAAATTAAATCGTATATTACAGTATTTCCATGCATGCATCAGCACCTCATATTTTTCTTACTAGGTGGCCTTATGAGTTATCCTAGCTTTAAGGAAAGATATTTTTTCAAACTAAGAGGTTCAATTAAATTATGTTCCTGAAACCAAAGGCGGATGTGTATCTATTTTTTATACAATAGATTTAAACATCAAATGTTTTTCTTCAGTGTCCTCTCCGTTGCGAAGCACGGGTACTGCAGCTAGTATATAATGAATTATGGTCAATCAAAGTGATTCTGTTACTAATTACCTGTTCTAGTTGTGTCTCATCAAAAGTATTTTCAGGATAAAAAATGTGCATATAATTTGTTTACTGTTTTAGGTGATTGGAGGCACTAGTGTGATTAACGGTATGATGTATATGAGGGGAAGCAGAAAAGATTACAACGACTGGGAGCAGGCAGGAAACCCAGGGTGGGGGTACAAAGATGTTCTTTCATATTTTATGAAATCAGAAAACAATCTACAACAATCTTCAGTGGACGAGGGATATCACGGAACAGGAGGGCTTCTTCCTGTGTCTCAGTTCCCATACCATCCTCCCATTGCTGAGGCATTCCTTGAAGGGGCTAAAGAACTAGGTCAGAGGGTAGGAGACCTCAACGGCAAAACTCATGAAGGTTTCGCTATCGCCCAAGCGACTAACAAAAATGGAATTAGATTCAGTAGCGCTCACGCTTTTCTACGACCAGCTAAAACTCGAACAAACCTTCATATACTTCTCAATACGACTGTCACACGTGTTCTGGTTGACCCAAAGACCAAAAAAGCATTAGGAGTAGAAATAATGAAACCTTGTGGCAAAACAGAACAAGTATTAGCAAAAAAAGAAGTTATTGTGAGTGGTGGAGCTGTGAATTCCCCTCAGATTCTCCTTTTGTCAGGCATCGGTCCAAAAGAAGACCTGGAAAAAGTCGGAATTCCAGTAGTACACGACCTACCAGGAGTGGGTAAAAACCTACACAATCATGTAGGACATACAATTAAATTCTACATTGACAATAATCAAGTGGTGGACTTAGATTGGGCGACAGCTATGCAATATATGTTACATCGGGATGGATTATTGTCATCAACTGGTCTTTCATCACTTACAGGTATGGTTAAGTCCAAGTTTGCTAACTCAAGCGAAGATCATCCTGATATCCAGATATTTTTTGGAGGTTATAAAGCTAACTGTGCCAAAACTGGAGAAGTGGGACAAGTTTTGGAGAATGATGATGGATCACCAAAGAAAAGAATGATAACCATGACTCCGACCAATCTGCATCCAAAGAGCAGAGGCTATCTTACATTGAAGGATAAAAATCCACTTTCACATCCGAAAATCGTTCCTAAGTACCTTACAGAAATTGAAGACGTTCATAGATTGATTGAAGGAATCCGATTTGGGATAAAACTTGCTGAAACCAAAGCACTTGAGGAATACGGTATCAAACTGGACACAATACCGATTACTGCTTGCAAACACTTGACATTTGGTTCTGATGAATATTGGGAGTGTGCGGTTCGTCATAACACGGCTCCTGAGAATCACCAAGCGGGTTCTTGCAAGATGGGACCTTCCTCCGACCCGCTGGCTGTAGTGGACCATCAACTGAAGGTTAGAGGCATTGATAACTTGAGAGTGATGGATGCCTCCATCATGCCTAAGCTGACCTCAGGCAACACAAATGCTGTATGTATCATGATTGGAGAAAAGGGCGCAGACATGATCAGGAAGAGCTGGTCCAGGCAGTAGATTCATAGGTTCAAACATTTGTGTCAATCAGTTTTAGAAAATAAAGCAATAACATACTGTCTTTAACTAATATCATAATACCCATGTTCAGACATTTGAGAAAAATATAACCCCTATGGTAGAGGGGGACTACAAATCAACCAGGGGAGGGCTGTGTCCTTAAAGTGCTTTCTAAGAAAATTTATACTTGATATGATATATAAGGCATTGTAGGGGCCTATAAATAATTGTCAACATTTCATAATTTGCTATCAACATTTCATGATTTCATAATTACCTTGAGATTTGACATAGGTCCTTTGATTAAAGGGATCTAGGTCAAATCTCAAGGTACTTTGTGATTCCAGCTCAATTATTGTTTCTCTTTCCTCAGTCGGAAAATTGCTTGGTCCGTTTGAGGTATATTATTGATTTCTCCATGAGTTATTCATTTACCCAGCAGGATTTATATGAAATTGATAGCAGAGTTCCACGCCGGTCTTTAAAACCGTCATAATCAAACAGTTAAACATTCTTGCCGTTGCCACCAAGACTGATTGTGCGAATATATGATAGGTTACATACCTTTGTCTGTCTTCAGTCTTAAATATAGTAGGTAGTCTGGGGATTACTAGTTTTGGGTCATAAGACCCATTCGCAATTCAAATTTCAAATTTGAATTATTAATTGTATAAAGTTTTAAAATTATGCGATGATAATAATTTTATGTAATATTTTAGAATGGGTCTTATGACTTGAAACTAGTAATCCTCAGACTACTACTTAAGACTGAAAACAGACAAAGGTACGCAACCTATAATATATAATCAACTTTTTAATAAGACTTTTTCCTACATAGGTACTGTAATAAACGTTAGTTTAATGAAGTTGTGAAGATATTGTAACTGATTATGGTTAAAAAAAGTTCATATATCAGTAAATATTAGTGAGCTGAACAAATGATTATTGTAACATGGGATTTAAGGAAGAAAAATTGAGAACTCATCTAAGGCACTCTCAAATAATATTCAAAAAATCAATATTGTGTTCGGTGGATAGTATGCGGATTAAAAATTCAGCCGTTATAGAAAGTGTAAAAGCTAAATACTAATGGTGCAGTGCACAAGTTCCAAGTAGAAAAATTGTAAATTATCATAAATAAATACAATAAATATATTTACAGAGGTTACAAAATCTCATTTCACATAGCTAAGTCCAAGACTGTAAGCCATTGTAGCCATCCCTCACGCTTGTGAAGTGGTGGTTTACATAATGGTGTTGTTATCACATATGCATAGTGGAGTCAGTATTCTAGTCTTCCACTACATTGAAACACTTTACTTTGATTACTGTTGTGTTCAGAATGTTAAGAGGCAGAACTGATGTAAGTGGTGATGGTGATGACATTCCCATGTTGTCAACATGCAAGTGGTTGTACACAAGTACATCAACTAATCGTGAGTTCATCCATTGACTATACATAGAATAGACTTGCCATGTAATGTAAAAATTTGAAGCAAAAAAACCTGGTGCAATCTGTTGAGATGATCTACTGACTGTTGATGAGTCTAATGACAATATTCTGTGTTAAGTGATAAATCAATCAGCTGTTTGCTATACTGATATTTGTTATTAATATTTAACCCATTACACTAGTCTGGTGAGATGGTCCTGAAATTCATCTACTTACTTGGCTTCAATTTTTTTATATCACATGGGAAGTCTATTCTGTGTATAGTCAATGGTTTATCCCATCAATAAAAAAGGACAAGATCCAGACGAATATCAAATCCTTTTTTTAACTTAAAGATCTCCATGAATTATTTCAAAAGTACCTTAGAATGCAACTCCTGATATACAGTTATTTATTTTAGCATAACTTTGTAGTAAGCCCATAGTAATTTCGATGCACGCACAGTTTAAGAAATCTAAATCAAAAGGTTTGCCATACATTTAGAAAAATGTGTAAAATACTTAAAATGATTAAGTAATACAGTAATATCCTTTACTAATGGACCAATGGACCGAACATTTAGCTTAAGTTTTGGTCTCCTATGCTTTCCTCTCACACTCTGTATGTAAATTCCAGCTGTATTACATATTGTAACTCCAAGGACATATGTGATAACTAGGCTAAGTCGTACGCAAAACTATACTTAAGCCTTACCGAGCATTGGATGTACATATAAGCAACTCAATCTGAAGGTCACAAGTGTACGACGCATACGTCAAAACATATGTATTTTAAATATGTTTCTTGGCCGTCTTTAGTGAAGTAAATCTAGTAAGATAAGTAAATATTCAGTGCTTCCCAAAGTGTTGTGTTGTGTTATGTTGTGTTGTGTTGTTTATTGAAAATGACGTTTAGATTGAATGATCTGAATCAATATTTTTATTGTATTATGATTAGATAAGTCTGTTTGTTGTCTTTTGGTAATAATAATAAAGACGTCATATTTTTCTTATCATGATTTTGTTAATTCATTAATCTTTTTAAAAGTTTAGCTGCTTATTAAAAATAAACGTTTTCCCTAATAAAAATTTACAAGCCTTAGACGTATATATAGAGTGAGTTTTAAATGAGTTCCCCCCCTAATTTTTTCTACATTTCTTAAGATATCAACTCCGGACCACGTCAGATCATTGTAGAGTAGTAAGTACTTCATTTTGACTAGGTATAAATTTTTAGCCGCCATCTTGGATACAAAGTTTTTTTTCCAAATGTAAAGGTAGAGTTTTGACCAATCGTTTCAAACTAGATTTTGACGCTAAATACAATGCTGCAATCCTTTTTAAAAAATCTCGATCCATTAGTTATGAGGACTTTTTATAACTTTATTTTAGCCCATTTTAACATTGTGCAATTTACAAATTAAGACCATAATCTCAAAATAGTGCTAGATAAAGATAAGTATACACTACCTATTTTCACTTGGTTATGAGGGATGTATTTTTTTCGGCCGCCATCTTGGATCCACTAGTTGAGGACCGCGAAGGCTGTCAACAAATGGCTTCTACAAGCTTCGATTCTCTCCACAGTGTCTGGAGGAGTCAGAGGACGACCAGAGCTCTCCCCTACACACAAACATCCAGTTGTCTTGAATTTCCTCACCCAATAAGCTATGCAGTTCTGACGAGGAGCCTCCTTTCTAAATCTAGTCAGAAAATCCCGCTGAACACTAACTATGGCATTAGCAAACTCTAAAATGCAAAATGCTCTTTCTTGTTTTGTAGTAGCCATTTGTTTACAGGCTTTGTGGTACTCAATTAAGCAACCGAGATAAAAGAAAACCTTGTCAAAACAAACTTATAAACTCGCCCTTTCCATTTTTGTGACAATCGACTGTTCAAAATCATGGAAACAGACCTACCAACGGTTTAGTTTAGCAACATTATTTTTTTATAGTTTCAGATGGGTTAGCTTCTGGATTAACCCTAGAGCTGGCAATAGTGTAACGCTGTACTGGCATGGGGATATTATTGATTATGTAATATCATTTTTAAACCATCATAAAAATTAGAAATAGCAACATAACTATGGATTGTTATATATCATTTTGTTCAGAATAAGACAAAGAACAATAATATAGGTGATTTACATGGTTACCACCAAAAAAAAATTTTTGTAGTTTTTCCAAATTGTGGGTATTATTAATTTTTTTATAAAATGTTTTTATATTCCGTCGTATAGCTAAGTGCATGTAAGACTTAGCATCATAAGGTAAATAGTAAAGTTGTGGTAAATTTTGTGCTGATTCCAAAAATATATAGTTTATATAGCTTATTTTGTGTATTTTGTTTGATAGCCCTATTACTATGTCGATCGTACCCCCGCGCTAGTACCAAATAATCACCCAACCCAGGTCATATACAAAACCGTACACCTTATATAATATATAATTCCAGGGTATTCTGGTTTGTATTATTTTACTTATTTATTACAACAGTAGCCCAAAAAAGTTAACAAAACGAACAAAAAATAAAAAAAATTACTTATAGGCCTATCGTAACACCGGCATTGGCGCCGTATATCCGGCGTCGCCATTTCGGCCGCGGCCGTCCGCGCCGTATATCCGGCGTTTGCCAGCGCTAGGGTTAAGATAATGCAAATATAAAAGGTTTAATTTACCTGTTGCGTCAAGTTTTTTATTGTAAATATTTTAATGTTTCGTATGTGTTTCGTGTTATGAGTCCTAAATGTGCTGACAACTCCATCCACGGATGAGAAGGCCGTATTTTAACGTTCATAGACAACCTGAAGATGTATTCGCTTAGCAGTACAAAACTATGTGAGTCGGTGGCTCAGTTGATAGCGTCGCGGACTTCGGGCCCAAGGCAGCGATGTAGTGGGTTCGGATCCTGGTCACTGCCACTAAAATTTATCAGTACAGTTCACCTTTGTACTGTACCAGTTCACTCCTTGCTTTGCTGTAAACGATCCACGCACGGGCGCTTAGTCTATGTGGACGGGCAAATGCAAGGTTAAAAGAGGCCGCCAACCTCTTTTTTTGAAAAAAAAGTCAACAAATGGCTACTACAAGTTTTGATTCTCTCCACAGTGTCTGATAGAGTCTGAGGACAACCGCTCTCCCCTACAAAAAAAAAAAAAAAAAAAACTGGCCGTAGTTATTTCATAACTTAAGGATTAATTGACGCAAAAGGTAAATTAAACCTTTTATATTTACTTTTTTAATAATCCTATAAGTTTCCTTATTATTTTACAAAACTTGTTGTTGAGCATTAAAAAATAGGTGTTGTCTTGAGGAACGAGACAGAACTATGTTCTTTTATAATATTTATTTACAAAAATGGCATAACTTACATAAGATCATAAATAAAAACAATATTCTTGTAGATTTCAAGAGTGTTTGAAGGTATAAAAATAATTGCAAAGCTACTATAGTAATATACAAGACGTATAAAACTGTTTTAACAGATATCTTTTTGAATAATTTACTCAAACTAAAAATCCTCCACTTACTTGGTACTTATTGGTACTTTAAATTTGAAAAAAGTTCACATTTTAGTAAAACAAAGTTCGTAAATAATATATAAATTAAAACAAATAATAACAAAGAAATA